TGACACTGTCTAACCATCTCATCCTTTGCCGTCCCCGTCTTCTTTGACCTTCAATCTTTCCCAGCATCAGGGTCTTTTCCAGTGAGTGCTCCCTTCTCATTTGGTGGCCAAAGTATTTGAGCTTCAGTTTCATTATCTGGCCTTCCAGGGAACAGTCAGGGTTGATTTCTTTTAGGATTGACTGATTTGATCTTCTTGCAGTCCAAGGGACTCTCAAGAGTCTTCTCCAGCACCATAGTTCAAAAGAATTCTTCTGTGCTCGGCCTTCCTTATAGTCCAACTCTTGCAGCCATACATGACTACTGGGAATACCATTGCTTTGACCATACGGACTTTTGTTGGCAGGGTGATGCAGCAAGCGGCAAGCAGCAGGCCCGGAAAGTAGAGATCCCTTGTGGCCAGTGGCGGAAACAGCAAGCGGCTGCCGTGCAGCAGGAGGCGCGCGGTGACGTCATCTAGGGGCGCGACGGAGCCGGAGGGACGTAGTCGGGACCTAAGGAGGACTCTGACTGCGCGCCGGATCGCAAAAATGCGCCAGGAGAACAACAACAGCCATATACCGCCGGGAATGAAGCCAGCCAGACCGTTCCTTATAGTCCAACTCTCGCAGCCATACATGACTACTGGGAATACCATTGCTTTGACCATGCGGACTTTTGTTGGCAGGGTGATGTCTCTACTTTTTATCATGCTGTTTAGGTTCGCCATTGCTTTCCTCCCAAGGAGCAGGCGTCTTTTAATTTCATGGCTGCTGTCACAGTCTGCGGTGATCTGGGATCCCAGGAACGTGAAGTCTGTCACTACTTCCACGACTTCCCCTTCTATTTGCCAAGGAGTGATGGGGCCGGATGCCATGATCTTAGTTTTTTTGATGTTGAGCTTCAAGCCCACTTTTGCGCTCTCCTCTTTTACCCTGAGCAAGAGGCTCTTTAGGTCCTCTTCACTTTCTGCCATTAGAGTGGTATCGTCTGCATATCTGAGGTTGTTGATCTTTTCCCCAGCAATCTTAATTCCCGCTTGTGATTCATCTAGGCCAGCATTTCACATGATGTACTCTGCATATATATTAAATAAGCAAGGCGACAATATACATCCTTGTTGTACTCCTTTTCCTATGCTAAACCAATCAGTTGTTCCATATCCGGTTCTAACTGTCGCTTTTGGCCCTTATACAGGTTTCTCAAGAGACATGTGAGGTGGTCTGGTACTCCCATCTCTTTAAGGACCTGCCATAGTTTGTTGTGATCCACACAGTCAAAAGCTTTAGCATAGTCAATGAAGCAGAAGTAGATGTTTTTCTGGTACTCTCTTGCTTTCTCCATAATCCAGCGAATGTTGGCAATTTGATCTCTAGTTCCTCTACCTCTTCGAAACCCAGTTTGTACTTCTGGCAGTTCTCTCTCCACGTACTGTTGAAGCCTAGCTTGTAGGATCTTGAGCATGACCTTGCTAGCGTGTGATATGAGTGCAATTGTGCGATAGTTTGAACACTCCTTGGCATTGCCCTTCTTTGGGAT